TTGTTGAAGTAGCTAGGCATGCATATATCACTTCGTGGTGGAGATAAAGGTATAGTGGCAGATGGTTTCACATTCTATTGCTGATTAACTGATCTAATAGAAAGTTCATCCTAATTAGTACATCTTTGACCTGCTCATACTTTCCAGGCCCAACTTACATCATAGGGTTATTGTTCTAGGAAATTTGGAGAAGGAAGCATTATGTTTGCCATCTTGAACTGTGCAAAATAAAGTAGGACATAAATAAAAAATAAGTCACAGCCCACCATAGCAAAGCAAATGTAAGGGTTTTTCTAATTCTAATCTTACATTTTGTAGCCTTGAAGTCCTTTCAATCTTCTTTTAGAATGGATGGAAACAGTTTTGTCATAAGTATTGGTATGAACAAAACATAAAATAGTGCTATGATATACATGAAGCATTGCAGACCTGTGGCCAATTCCTATACATCCGTACCTCTCCTCACTGGTATCTGCTCTGGATGAAAGGAGGGCTAGATGGTTGTGTGAATTTAGCCAAGAAATGGGATGGGGAGAGCAGGGCTATGTTTGGTAATGGAAAGGAAGAAAATGAAAAGAAAATGTGGAACTGGAAAAACAACCAAGAAAGAAGAAAGTGGTGGATAAAAGGGAGTCAGAAATATAGGGGCACAGAGAACATCTTGCCCAGAATATCTTAAAATGTTGCTGTGGGAAAGAAGTAGGTTAAGAAAAAATGTTCTGGGAATTGTGAGCAATACTTCATTTCTACTGATCTTGCCAAATCTGCTGTTGAGGACCAGACAACTGAAGAACACAAGAAACTATCTTCCATTTACACATTTCGAGTAAAAGGAAGTTTACATCAAATTACTCATATTCTGCAGTGTAGGAGGAAAGGACAGGAGAGGGGCAACCATCCTTTGGAAAAAAAGAGGAACATGATGACCATGCTTTATTTCGCATCCGTTGTTTTGGTCTTGCTTTCCTGTTCTCTTGAGCATTAGTGTTCTCATTCTCATTCATGTCATTTGTTTTGCTTTCATGCCAGAGCACTGTTATATTTGATTAACAGCCTGTTTTGAAGCGACAACTCCAGAAGATATGTACTGTTGCAGACTGGACTAGAGATCATTGGTTGCAGAGGTAAACTATCCTTTACATTTCCAACATCAACATGGAAATCTTGAGTTTGACAGACTCACGTTCGTGCCTGTCCATGTAGCTTTCTGTGAGAGTTAGGGGCAATCACAATTCCCAGTGCACAAGGATTGTTATGAGAATAAAAGTGGGGCAGGAATATATATTACCACAATGACTACCCTGCCTAGTACCTAATTGATGTTAAATAAATATCAAATATATTTTTACTGGGCAACTGTCAGGACAAAAAAAGAAAAATCCTTATAGCAGGGGGTCTCTGACCCCATTTGTGCCAACGGTGCTCAGCCACTGCTTGTAACCATCCCCTTTCCACCCCGCTGCGGTCCACAAAGCCAAAAAGGTTAGGGACCATTGCCTTATAAGTTCCTTTCTAGAAGTACAATCCCCATTATTTCTTTTCAAATATTTTTAGTTCAGACATATTTTTTTCCTGCTGCTTTTAACTATATGAGAACTGATCAGCTGGATCTGTTTTAGCATACAGCCAACATGGGACAAGTCAGAGACTGACAGCAGTTACTTGCCCCAGGCAATCTCTGGCAAGTGAAGGACAGAATTCCTTTTATCTCTTTCCTCACATTTGATGTACCACATCTGAATCTTGTGAATTGACCTGAGGGTACATATAGGCCAGTGAGGGGGGGAAAAGGTTGCTGTCTTATTAAATCTGCTCTGTGTCCTAAAATACAGTATATATTGAATTGTAGAATGATTTCTTGATTACTTTATTATACTTAGCATTTCTACCTGGAGCCACTGCAGGTGATTATTCCCTCCAGTGTAGGCTTTGTAGGAGATAATGTAAATAAAGCTACCATTAAGTTACTGCAGTAAAGCTACCTTGACAAGTATCACACCTGGATGAAGTATATGTGAACACAGCTTCTGATAGAAAGCAGTTCTACAGACAACACTGAATCAAATAGATTGAAAGTCTGAAGTATGTTATAAAGTTATGAAGTAAAACTTCATAAGAATATAATTCCTAAGCATAAAAAAAGGCAAGGCCAGTTTAGCATGATTCCAGCTTTGCAGAGATCTAAACTGACTACCTCTTCCTAGCATGAACCAAGTGAAGATAGTTTTAAGAATTCTGGGCTTTAGCTTTTCATTATATTTATCAAATTCCCAGATTGTCTTAGTGTAAATTGGTGTTTAAAATTTAAAATTAAAATTTCAAAGTACACTCAAGCATGATGTAATGATACCATCTGTAGAAAGATAAATCATATTGAAAAGGCAGGAACTAGAATAACCCTTCCCTCACATCTTTCAAATTAAAAAAATGAATGTTTTATAGCTGAAAAATATACACCCAATACTTTAAACACCACATTACATTATACCACAACAGCTGATAATAGGGTAGAAAACATAATGTCTGAGATGATTATACTATATGCCTAAATTGTATCCCAGGAGTCAGTTGTACTGAACACCTCCTACTATAAGAAACAAGGTTTGTAAAGAAAAACATTTTAACACATAAGGTATGTACAATACAAGTTTATAATAGGGATTTACTGTAGTCATAACTGATAGAAAAGTTTCCGTATTTAATTGCATTCATGATTATGCATTTCTGCATTTCTCATTCATTGTAACAGAGCTGCTTCCAAGCTAAACCTTAGGAAATATTTGGAAAAAGCTGTCTCATGCAAGGAAAGTCTGTTTTCCTGCAAAGGTTAGTTGGCCTTATTTTTAGTTTTCCAGTGTTAATATTTTTCCATTTTTGCACAGGAAGTGTAAAGAACTGCCAGTACTAGAAATTAAATTCCTTATGTACAGATCTAATATGATACACAGCCAATAATTAAAGTTACATCATTAAAGCTAACACCAATCTGGCATTTTCAGGAGCAACAGCACAAAAGAAATGAATCCCTGTAGAAGTCATATTTTAAAAGGTACTGAAAAATTTGGATGCAAAATTGAGCTAAGATTATAAATACTGTATCCTTACTTGGATATTGCCTTGAATTTAATCAGACCTAGATCTAAGAGGGTTTCACAATTATGGCTATAAGCTGTTACCATTAATTGAATCATAACTTACGATTTACTTTTATTCTAAACAGTATTTTATTTCATATGCATGTAATATATCTAATGTATATTTCAAGAAAAAATCATGTTTGTTTAAACAAACTATTGAAAACCAACCTTTTTGTTTTTATTTCTTTGTAAAATAAAGAGGTTTAATTGTAATTTACTTCCAATAGTTTGATCAATTAATTATACAATTTGCCTTTTAAATACTGCTTACCTCTCGATATAAAATGTACACAGGACATGCTTCTCCCAAGCTTGCTTCCATATAGATATGCAAGAGCACCATCTGCTGAACAAATCACTGTTTTTCACTAAATATTCTCTAACCTTCTTTAGGAATGGAAATAAAAATAAATAAAATCACAAGAACAAATGGAGTGGTACAAATTTACTAGTAAGCTTCTAAATATTAATTATAAACTAAATTGATCTACAAGCCAAGTAGGTGTTAAAATGCCTGCTGTATCTTTACCATAGAGAAATGGCATTTGAAATTACTAGCTATCCCCACTAATAATCTCATTTGATAAGATTGGACCAAAACAGCAGTAATACTACAGTATATCACTTTGCAGTAGTAATGGCTGGATAATGCTATGAGAATCATTTAAATCAGTGTTGATCAAGACATGAATCAGGATGTAAGTTAGTAACTCTGTGGTTGCAAATGGAGGAAATGAAGTCAATTTGATGTAATTAATGATAATTATTCTACAAATACAATATACATAATTTCAATAATTTTGGAATGAAAGCCACCATGCTAGATCAGTAATGAAGAAAGTTCTTCATAGAAAACTTTGTAATAATCTCTCAATTTTTTTCCATGAGGATTTTCTTTAGCCCTTTTGCTATATTTAAATCAACATGAATGGGAGTATTCCCATTCAATACTCCACTATTTGTATTTTTTTAAAAAAAGCAAAAAAATCATACTGTAAAGTCCTATTCATTAAACCTTTAGTCCATTACTGTTTTCCTGTAACAGTCTTAAAGTCAAGGGAACAAGCTATTTCTATAACTCATCCAAAAATATTCAATATACAAGCTAAAATTCAGGTTCAAAATTATACTGAAAACATAAAGAGGAAACAACTTACATATAGCACAATTTCAACACAGAAGTCAATCCTATAATTAACTTTACTAAAATTTAGGAAAAGTTAAGTGTAAGTCACTTGATGTCTATTGGCATATAAATAATATAAATTGTAGGTAGCATCAAAGTTTAAGGCTGCAATCTGCATACCTAGGATTAAGCCCAATGAATTCAATGTGAATTACTTCTGAGTGGAATGACTGGAATTATACCACTATAAACTAACACTTCTTTCCTCGAGTGTAAAGATTTAAAATGATACCCTTAAACTTAATCAAAATAATATGTATACTGCATAATGTTCGTTGAAAATTTAAAGAATTTATAATTTACATTAATTGTATGAAACTCTGTACCTTGTTTTCTGGAACCTTTAGAATTATGTTTTAAGATTTGAAAACATTTTTTTTTAAATTCTAAAATAGGTTATTACATATTTGGGGACCGATAGAAAAATATAAACTTGCAGTACATAGGAAGAATGAATCATATCTATTGTGTCTTTATGTCATTGTGATGGATCTTTTATTTGAAACCCTGACACATTGGAGAATTAAAAGTTATAAGAGTCTTATACTAATTTGTAATAGTAAAGACATTCTTTTAAACCAGAAAATAAATTTGAATACATTTCCTGAAACAACAAAAAGGTTTTTTTTTTTGCTTTTCATTTGAATACAAATAGTTGACATTTTTCATGTTGAAAATTTTATTTAGGTTAGTATTATAGGAAAGCGATTTTATTTTAACAGAAATTACACAACATTGTTAATTAATCAAAATTTTTATTATATTCATGTGTTTTGCTTCGGTGTGTCACAGTATGGGGCATTGTCTCGCAGCACATCATTTCTCGGTAAAAGCTCTGGAAGAAAAAGACATTATTATTAGATTTTCTGCACTATTGTTTAAACAAAGGCAACACTGTACTTCTAGTACTCTAGAAGTAATGGAGATTGTAGAATTAGAAGCAGTATTTTTGACAAATGGGAATTTGTAAAATTATAAACTAATTACCAATACATACAATATATTTAAATATTCTGCCTTTTGCAAAACCATTCAAAATTCTTTATCTGTTTGTCGTAGTCAGGTCATTGCAAAAGACTCTGTACTGTGATAAACCATTCATTCACCCAGCCAAGTATTATTTGTTTCAATTGGTGGTAAATTTCTAAGTTTAGGCAGGAATTATTTTAGCATTTGCCTGGGCTGCGAAATTAAGCAAAATTGGGCCATACTTGGTTCTTGGTTCTTGGATGGGACAGTAGCCATGAAAACCACAGCTGTAGGGCAGTCTAAGAAGCTAAATAAGTAAATAAATCCAGGCAGGCCATTTCTATGCTATTGTATAAATGTTATGTGATAATCAAGAGCTGAGCTCTAACTGAGATCATCCTTATCTCCCTTAAATGTGCAGAGACTGAATCTGTGACTTCCTGCCACAAAAAAAGGGTTTATTACTGAGCCACAAACACTTGTGAGTACTGTAGCTAATACAATGCTCAATTACTTCTTATTCTTCAGTTTTAAAAAAACCCCACAATGAATATTTAGTATAATGGAACAAATGTGGCATGGTGGTTAAGGTATCAAACTAAACTATGGAAATCTCAGTTTGTAGGCAACCTAAGAGGTGACTGAGAGGTTGACATATTGGCCTTGGTGTCAATAATGAAGTGGATAAATAAAGATGTTCATGCACTGTATAGCAGCCTTTAAAAAAGGCAAATGTCCATGCTATAGATCATTAAGAAAGAGATAAAAATGCCAACAGAAAATTATGGTACCTTCATATCTGAAATTCTAGTTAGGGTTTTGACACAAACTGAATCTGTACATATTTGGGATTAAAAGTGGTTTAACCCGTTTGAATTAGTGATAACATTTTATATTTTAAGTTGCAAAGATCTCACATTCCACAGGAAGTATAGGATAGAAAAATAGAGGAAACACATACGTTTTATTGAATGGGGGCTTTTCAGATACGTTAATTAATCAACTCTTAGAGACAACATTGCAAAACTACATTAATAGAAATATTTGTTAAGATATTTAATTATTCAAGGTAGAAACTTTCTATTAAAACAGATTCAGTTGGAATTTGGAAAACAGAACAAATTTGATAGCTAACTATAAGGCTTTCATAACTATACTGATATTTCGTCAATATTCCACTATTCGTTAAAGAATTACTTGAAATGAATATCAACCTGCTATAAACAGAATATATAGAAATCTATTGAATTTCTGTTTAATATATTAATTAAATCCAATTAAATTCTGAAAGATATTATGTAATTATCACATGTACCCCCCCCCCCCTCACCTACCTGGTATTTATTTATACCTAATAAATCAAATACACTGTGCCAAGCTTTAGCTTTGAATATGTAGTACTCACTATTAAACTGATTAATAAAAGTTGCAAGGCAGAGAATCTTTACTTACTTATTTTGTTGGCATCCACATAAACACCTTGTAGGACACATGTTCTAAGTATAACTTCCACATCTGAAGCTAATTTTATAAGCTGGGTGGAATTGGGAAACAGAATTAATAATTATTCACCAATATATTTTTCATCCATGAAATGTTATTATAAATTCATTGTGAATTTCATAACTGAGATTTTCAAAGGATGCTTATCTTTGTTTTGACATTAACATATTTATATTACATATGCTTTAGTAGAATATGGATTTTTTTTTCCAGAACTAGCAAGACATATTCATCATGGGGTTAAGATTTAATAAAAAAACCCATGCATTTCCTTGCAGAACAGAGCAAAAATGAACTTTTCAATATATTTCCTTTGTAATAACTAAAGAATGCCTGGAACTATTAGTTTGCTTAATGATATTTTTTCCTCGTTGAAACAACATTTTTATTCTTCTAATATTAATATTAAATTTTCATGTTTGGCATCTTTCATTAATTCATACTGCACCTATTACTAGAAATCCTTACAATGCTATCACCCTGCTTCAAAGAAGTAGTCAGAGAGCTATCAACTGGATAACACTAAATTACACTTTATTAAAACATAAAACAGAAATATAATACTTGATGCACAGATTGTTTATTTTGGTTTCAGATCAGTTATAATTTTATCATTTCACCAGGTTCATGAATAATTTGACAGTCTATTCCTTCAAATCTAAACAATTATCTGCATGAATCGGCTTGTATAAATATCTGAGTTACTGATTAAAAGAATAGTAACCCATGAAAAAATATGCATATGTTTATTTTAGCTATCAGTTTTCAATGTTAAGATTTTGTGAAAGCTTCAGAAGTTCATTTTTTTTACAGTTGAGGGTTTAATATTGTGGAACACATGAACACTTGCTGAATTTGAGTGCAAAGTCATGTTCAAATTCTTCAGGCAAAAGAAATTAAATATCAATAATTCAAGGATAATTCCAATTTTAAGAGAGAAAATTACAGAATAATGGAATCTACTATACCAATTTCTGCGAAAAGACTCTATGTCAAAGATTGGTTCATTTAAAGTTGTCCATACACATATCCTGCATGCATATAAAAGAACGTTCCTGTTTTACAGGCAAATTATTATTCTTTTAAACAGATTCTTCAGAAGTGCTATTCTGTCTAATCTCCCTCTTTTCACCTGTCAGGTGAACTTTCATTTATAAATGGTGGCTTTTTAGGAAAAGAATTCAATGAATGGGAGAATGTTTCTGAAAAGGGACAACAAAAAGAGCTTATTCGCTAGTTCGGCACAGGTGACATAATATAATACTTATTAGCTCTTGCACTAAAAAAGTTTAAAATAAGAGTTATATCAGAGGGATGGGATAGTAACATATTCTGTTAAATACAAAGGAAACAAAACTGTAGGAAATTTAACTCTCTGCTTCAGGATCTTGATTGATTAATGGTCAGACAAAAGAAGCATCTAGATCTATTTAGCCATGCTTTAACAAGAAATAAGAAACCGGTATCATTAGAAACTAGCCAGCTCCTACAAAATCCTAAAACATTAAGGTTTAGCTCTCCCTATATGGCTCCTCCAAGTGCCAGCAGGAACTTCTCGTGGTGCCCTCCAAGCAGCATTCTTTAAAAACAAAAGGGATGGGGATTCTTGTTCAATGCTCTTTTGGAATTATATTCACCCTAAAGATAGAAATTTTTGCCAATGAGTGTGTAAACTGGAAAGTTTGGGGAGAGGCAAGAAAGGGTAGCAGGGATCATCTAATCAGTTGCCTTTGTAGTAGATTGTATGACCACACTACCAGAGCAGTCATGTTGTGGGAATGTTCATAGCATATATTCCAAATTCAAAAGTATCTACAAGTACTCCTCACTTACCAATTGCCTTGTTCAGCATCCCTCAGTCATGTGATTGTTATTGTGCTCAATAAGCCTTATCCTTTGCCTGACATGTGGTCCCTGTAGCTTGTATAGCGGTGAGATTGGAGAGGAAGGGTTTACAAGGGACTAAGCAGGCACATAGGGAGAATAAACCAGGTTATTTGTGTATGGCTCCCAGCCCAAACATGATTGGGGTGCCAGTGCCACCACTTTCCTTCCAATGTACACTGCTCAAAAAAATAAAGGGAACACAAAAATAAGACATCCTAGATCTGAATGAATGAAATATTCTCATTAAATATTTTGTTCATTACATAGTTGAATGTGCTGACAACAAAATCACACAAAAATTATCAATGGAAACCAAATTTAGCAACCCATGGAGGTCTGGATTTGGAGTTACACTCAAAATTAAAGTGGAAAAAAAACACTACAGGCCGATCCAACTTTGATGTAATGTCCTTAAAACAAGTCAAAATGAGGCTCAGTAGTGTGTGTGGCCTCCACGTGCCTGTATGACCTCCCTACGCCTGGGCTTGCTCCTGATGAGTGGCAGATGGCCTCTTGAGGGATCTCCTCCCACACTTGACTAAAGCATCCCCCAACTCCTGAACAGTCTGTGGTGCAACGTGGCATTGGTGGATAGAGCGAGACATGATGCCCCAGATGTGCTCAATTGGATTCAGGTCTGGGGAACGGGTGGGCCAGTCCATAGCATCAATGTCTTTGTCTTGCAGGAACTGCTGACACACTCCAGCCACATAAGCTCTAGCATTGTTGTGCATCAGGAGGAACCCAGGGCCAACCTCACCAGCATATGGTCTCACAAGGGGTCTGAGGATCTCAGCTCGGTACCTAATGGCAGTCAGGCTACCTCTGGCGAGCACATGGAGGGCTGTGCGGCCCCCTAAAGAAATGCCACCCCACACTATTACTGACCCACTGCCAAACCGGTCATGCTGGAGGATGTTGCAGGCAGCAGAATGTTCTCCATGGTGTCTCCAGACCTGTCACGCCTGTCACATGTGCTCAGTGTCAACCTGCTTTCATCTGTGAAGAGCACTGGGTGCCAGTGGCGAATTTGCCAATCTTGGTGTTCTCTGGCAAATGCCAAGCATCCTGCACGGGGTTGGGTTGCAAGCACAACCCCCACCTGTGGACGTCGGGCCCTCATACCACCCTCATGGAGTCTGTTTCTTACCATTTGAGCAGCCACATGCACATTTGTGCATGCAGGTCATTTCGCAGGGCTTTGGCAGTGCTCCTCCTGTCCCTCCTTGCACAAAGGCGGAGGTAGCGGTCCTGATGCTGGGTTGTTGCCTTCCTACAGTCTCCTCCACACCTCCTGATGTACTGGCCTGTCTCCTGGTAGCACTTCCATGCTCTGGACACTATGCTGACAGACACAGCAAACCTTCTTGCCACAGCTCGCATTGATGTGCCATCTTGGATGAGCTGCACTACCTGAACCACTTGCGTGGGTTCTAGACTCCATCTCATGCTACCACTAGAGTGAAAGCACCGCCAGCATTCAAAAGTGACCAACCATCAGCCAGAAAGCATAGGAACTGAGAACTGGTCTGTGGTCACCACCTGCAGAACCACTCCTTTATTGGGGATTTCTTGCTAACTGCCTATGCTTTCCACCTGTTGTCTATTCCATTTGCACAACAGCATGTGAAATTGATTGTCAATCAGTGTTGCTACCTAAGTGGACAGTTTGATTTCACAGAAGTGTGATTGACTTGGAGTTACATTGTGTTAAGTGTTCCCTTTATTTTTTTGAGCAGTGTATATTCCCCATTGTGTGTCTGCATAGTCTTTTATAATTCCTTCTTCTCCAATTTGTAAATACAAATATTAATCTCCTTCTTGCTAATTATTACAGCATTGGAGTGACCATTCCAGGCGGCAGGAAATGTAAGCACAATCTAAGTCATTTGATTTTCTATTTAGCAACCAATTTGCTTAACAACAACTTTCAGTCTTGCATAGTTGCTATATAAGGACTACCTGTATTAGCTTTAAATAAGGACTACCTGTATTAGCTTTAAAGGTTAGGAGGCTCCAGACTATTCTCTCTATTTCAAGCTACAATAAAAATGTTGCAAAGGATAGAATTCTAAGAAGAAAAATAGAGTAACTGTTATCTCTGCTCAACAACTGCTTGTTCCTAATTCATCTTTGATTATTGGTTTGCACTATCTTTCCTTTTGAATATGAAGCTGAAAAACGATCACCATAAAACAGTGTTAGCCACTGACTTTCAAGCTGTGGTTATCAATATAAATATTTAGATTGCACTTGTATTTTGTCAGTTTCACAGTATAATTTATCTTTTAGAAAACCTTTAAGAACGGTAATTTTACAGAGACATGGACAATTGTTTGCTAGTAATCTCTATCCTCATTCTGTTTCTAATCTGTATTGTATAGTTAATATATAGTTATATTTTGTAATAGTTAAGCTAACATAACCTGCAACGAAGGATTGTATTCAATAGCAGAAACCAATTTCTATGCAAATACCTCGGCTATTTTTTCAGGAGAAGTCTCATTTTTATTATTTTTGAATTCTTCATTTATCTTAAGTCTTGCAGCTAGATTTAAAAAAAGAGAACAGGCATTTAAAAATGTATTTATTCAGTTTTGTTACATACACAATAGATACTATAAAAACTGTTTCCACAGTATGTTAACAGAACCTTATATGATAATCAGGAGATATTTTAAAAGATGTAGTCTGTTTCCCCAACAGTTAAGTTGCAATATACAAAATTACAAAATGTCACCAAAAGTCCCAAATGCATGTTATATTTAAAAACTAACTATTCCTTTGCAACACTTTGAGGAAGTTGAACATAAAACAGTTAATACTATTTCAAGGAAGCTTACTTGATATATCAAAAAGCAGCATAATTATTATCTTGGATAAGATAAGGCCCCAGCAAGGAAATATTTATATGAACCTAAGCTCCTATTCTTCAAATGTGAACAGAATAAGGGGGTCCCTGGTACTCTCTAAACTTGATTGTTTTCTCAAAGATGTTTCATTGCCCAAATTAGATAACCTTATCAGTGCTAAAGGGAGTGAAGTTTGCTCTCATTTTATATTCTAGTGGCTTGTCCTGTCAGTGTTGATGGGAGTAGTTTTGGTGGTTCTTTGGTTGGGTTTCCTGTGGTTCTTTGCTGCTGTTTATTTGTGCTCATCTAAACAGTCCATTTGTTGAGATAGATAATATTACCCAGCTATACAAAATGCCATAGTTCTTTTTGAGACAGGATAAAACCTTTTGGAAGCCAGGGCATCCTGTGCTGCAGCTATATCAGCTGTGTTCTATTCCATTTCAGGATTACTTTCTAATCTTGACGACCCATTTAGTTCCTAGTTTAATTATAACCAATAAAATTAACCAAATTAGCCTCTCTCCAGATCACCTATTTTTAATGGGGCTTATTTCAGCTTTTTGTTTGACAAGGGCTGTGGAATATAAGCTCACAGGGCATGAATAGTAAAGCTAATCCACCCTGTTATTGTGTGACCTCATATTTAACCCACATAGTTCTTAATCAGTTTTCATATAGGCAGGTTCCAGAGACTACTTCTTGTACAAAGATTTTATCATGTTACTACGTTTCCCATGTGTTGTTTTCTTTTTTTATTAAGCTAGTCCTTCGATCTTTTTACTGTAATAAATTTTCATTCATGTTGATCTTTTTTTCTTATTTGTATTCAACTAATTTATCCCAATGCATGAATGCATACTCTCCTTTATTTAGAAAACAAAATAGCTTAATGTTGTACCTCGAATCTAGAGCAAAATAGCATATTAAACTCATGAAGCATAGGCCCTTGATGAGAGTTTTACATTATTCTAAATTTTCAGGGGAAATTTTAATGTATCCATAGCAAGGATGAGAAATCAAGGTTTAGAACATATAAATATGTTGAGTGACGAAAACACATTTTCATCTAGATTTATACATTTGAATGAAAAAAGTGAGCAACTTTGCTTTTCTCACTTCTTAATATGGAATTACCTGCATAAGTCTGGGTTTTTTTTCAGTCCCCTTTGAGGTTATAAGGAAGAAAAAGATTACATTCTTGTTCCAGCAGCTCTGCTGCAACTTTCTTTTAAAAGTTTAGAAAGGTCTAGTGCTCAACCCTTTCTCCAACAGCTTCTCGGTGGTGAAACTGATCAGTCATCTTTTTCTTTTTATATATATTTGATCTAAATGCATGTATGCCAGTTTGAGGTTAGCATGGGAGACTTTGCCTCTCTTCTGACTGAAGAAAACTTTTTTGAAGTTATAACGTAAGAATTGTAGATACATTTAGGCTTTGTATCTTTTAAGATAAAACATGAAAGAAAGACTGAATAGTGAAGCAACAATTACAACTACAATTCAACACTGGCAAGATTTTATAATGAAATAACAAGGGACTCAATGCATATACAGCACATATATCTTTCAAAAAAACATAGAGGCTCAAATACAACTACATGCTAGAATTAATAATCATACCTTAAGACTATGTTTTTAAAAACTATGTTTTAAGTAGCCCTCTACTGGGGAAAGGATTGAGCATTTGTTCCTTTAGTTAAAAAAAAAAAGAATTCTTACCAGTGGTGGAATTCAATTTTTTTTACCTACCGGTTCTGTGGGCGTGGCTTATTTGGTGGGTATGGCTTGGTCATGTGACTGTGTGTGTGTGCTTGGTGGTCATGTGACTGGGTGGGCGTGGCCAACTCAATGTCACTCACATCAAGGGGTGCCTCATCTGGCCCCTCCCCTCCCAGCTCTCCCTTGTCACCCAGCCTCAACTTATCTATAGTTCTGTAAAAATGTTGTACACCTTTTTTGATTTTATTATCTGCATACTATAGATGTACTTTCATGGACCACTGAAAGGAGGAAATGGCTCACATGCTTTGCCCAAGAGTGTGATAGCTTTTAAGAGGCTGCCACAAAGAAAGGGGGACAATGTATTTTCCAAAGCACCAGAAGGATGGAAATTGAACAGAGAGAAGCAACCTAAAAGTAAGGAGAAACTTCCTGACAGTGAGAACAATTAACCAGTGGAATTGCTTGCCACCAGAAGTTCTGGGTGCTCCAACACTGGAAGTTTTTAACAAAAGACTGGACAGCCCTTTCTCTGAAATGGTATAGGGTTCCCCCCAAGGTCCCTTCTAAGTGTTATTCTGTTATTCTGACACCTTTCCCAGAATCTCTACTCAGAGTTTGGCATCCTCAGTTTTCTTGCCTGAGCTGGGGGTTGGACTAGAAGATCTCCAAGGTCCCTTTCAACTCTTGTTAAACACATGTGTATTTTATGCTCTGGACTATTAACATTGAATGCATGTAAACCCTGAAAAATATGTGGTAGCCCTGGGCAAAAGAAAGGCAGAAAAATCACTCTAGGTGTAGGGACAGTGTAAAATATTAACACGTGATAAATAATGGAACAATTAAAAATAATAGCACAGAGTTTTATCTCTCTCTCTCTTCCTATTTTTTTTCTTCCTTTCTCTACCTTCTTCTTTCTTTCTTTCTTTCTTTCTTTCTTTCTTTCTTTCTTTCTTT